TTGTATTCTATTGTATTCTATTGTATTCTATTGTATTCTATTCTATTTTATTCTATTCTATTCTATTCTATTCTATTCTATTCCATTCTATTCCTTTCCATTCGAATCTACTCCACTCCACTCCACTCCATATTTTCTATTCTATTCTATTCTATTCTATTCTATTCTATTCTATTCTATTCTATTCTATTCTATTCTATCCTATCCTATCCTATCCTATCCTATCCTATCCTATCCTATTCAGTTCAGAGCACCAAGGACCCCACAGTCTCATCTCTTCTCCTCCTCCTCCCTTCCTCCTCCTCCTCCTCCTCCTCTCTCCCTCCTCCTCCTCCTCCTCCTCCTCCTCCTCCCCTCCTCCTCTCCTCCTCCTCCTCCCTCACCAACATTGCTACCAGAAGATAGCTAGTTGAGCTGACTTCTTTTCTTGCCCATCGGTAGGGTTGTATTCATTCTCATAAAGAAAAACTGAGCCTTCTTTGTATCTTTCATGGTCCCGTCCCCAACACAGTTAGAAATAAACCCAGTTAATTCACTCTGCAGGCCAGGGCCTTCCCCTCAACCACCTGTCCAGCGCCTCTTACACCTGGCAAAAACGTGATGACAATTCAGAAATCCACCCTAGCAAACACCACATTCTCTGTGAATCTCTAAAAGGTCGGTTACAGACAGCCAGGTCACTGTGACATTGAGAATTCAATCAAATATTTGTACAAGCTTTTTCCCCCCTTTTTTTAGATTGTTTCCCAATACTCTAGATAGCTGCCGCCGCTAATCTGGAACTTTGTGAGTCATAGTGTTCCTTTTTAACGCAAACCCGGATATTCATAAAATTCCTTGTTGGGAAAAAGAAAAACCCTGCATGCCCGGGAAAGTTGAAAATAACAAAACAAAATCCTTGCTGACTTTTATACCAGCCTTGCTTGGGAAATGATATGTCCCGGGGTTATTAATTATACTATAGTAGAAGGACAAGCAGAGCTTGGGTGTGGGTGGGGGGAGTCAAGAGAGGAATTAGCCTAGAATCATTACGTTCCCACAAATGGTCTAAGTCTGACCCCTCATCAAATTCTTATCTACGTTGTGGTCCACCAGCAGCCTGTGGAGCTGGCAGCAGAGTCGGACAGTGAGGAGGCTGGGAAGGAACATGGGCCAGTCCTGGAGTCTGGGAGGGCTCTGATGAGGGCTCTGCGTCAGAGGCAGAGATGGGGCCAGGGCCGTATGCTAGTTATCAGCTGCCTTCAGAGTCAGACATCAGTGAGGCAGACGAACAGCTGGAGCCTGTTCCCAATGTGCGCATGCGCAGAGTTGCCAGATGAAAGGAACAGCTAAAGAACAAGGGTCGACTCGGGAGTAAAGCCACAGGTGGATGGTGAATGGCCCCTCCCAGAAGGAGTAAAAGAGGAGCAAAAGGGGAGTGGAGTTTGCAGGAGGCAATTAGTTCCCGACTCTCAGAGACTCCTGGCCAAGTTGCCTAAGCGCCTCTAATTTTGTGTTTCTTGTTTCTCTGTTTATAATCTATGAGGTAAATTTCTCCCGTCTCTATTTTATAATCTATTCTACACAGTTCTTTCAGCCATCCTTCTCAGGGTTTTGTTCACCTCATACTTCCTGAAATCTCTTCCACTCTTAACGCATAAAATTGGACTTGTTCCTTGTGCCTACATGGGTTTTTCCCTTTCTTTGTTCTAAACTAAACATGTTGTTGTGGTCCGCCAGCAGCCTGCGGAGCTGGCAGCAGAGTCGGACAGTGAGGAGCCTGGGGAGGAACATGGGCCAGTCCTGAAGTCTGGGGAAGGCTTGGATGAGGGCTCTGTGTCGGAGACAGAGAAAGGGCCATCTGGGAGTTATGTGCTGCCTCCGGAGCCTCCAGAGTCTGACATCAGCGAGGCAGAGGAACAGGGGGAGCCTGTTCCCAATGCGCGCATACGCAGAGCTGCCAGAAGGAAAGAACAGTTAAGACAAAAGGGGCGACTCGGGAGTAAGGCTTGGAGATGATTGGACGCTCCCATAAGGCATAAAGGAGGAGCAAAAGCACGTGGGCCTTTGCAGGAAGCAACTTTGTTTGTTCTGGTCGGTTTAAATTCTGAAGCTCCGTTTTTGACTCTGTGCTCCGTGTGGCCTTGCAAAGCTAATTGCTAATTAGGTCTTTGGCAGCATGTCAAGGGAGATAAAGGTGGGTGTTTATTAGCCTTATCCCAAAGGATTGTGGCAGACTTCTGTTGGACTCTTTGCAAACTATTTGTGACTCTCACGGGCTGTGGATGAACAGAATTCACAGCCGTTGAAATAAAAAGAGGGTTTTTGGGACTAATCTTGTGCTTTTTTACTGTCTCAGGAAGCCTAGATCAGAACAATCTAGCCATAATTTATTAGTGAACTACATTATTAGTGAACTATTTATTACTTGACTACAGTGGTGGGATTCAAGTAATTTAACAACTGGTTCTCTGCCCTAATGATTCCTTCCAACAACCAGTTTGCCAAACTGCTCAGAAAGTTAACAACCGGTTCTCCCGAAGTGGTGCGAACTGGCTGAATCCCACCACTGCTTGACTAGATTCTTAGTATTAGAGGCAGGAGCAATAAATCAGCTTAATTGGAACTTAACACATAATCTTCTAACCTGACATGTACACCGTTTGTCAGCGCTCCAGAGTTCAATGAAATGAGAAGCTCCGATGACATTCAATCTGCTTTCAGTTGGTCTCCTGGTCCATTCCCTGTTCCAGTTTAAGGTCAATAAGAGTCAATGAACAAAATCATTCTCTCTGCTTCAAGGGATTTCTTTGGTTTGTAGGGAAGATTGACAATCATTTGTCTGAAATAGTATAGGGTTTCCTACTAAGCAGCGGGTTGGACTAGCAGATCTTCAATGTCCCTTCCAACTCTGTCATTCTGTTCTATTCTGTTCTGCATTCTATTCTATTCTACTCCACTCCACTCCACTCCACTCCATCCCATCCCATCCCATCCCATCCAATATTTTCTATTCTATTCTATTCTATTCTATTCTATTCTATTCTATTCTATTCTATTCTATTCTATTCTATTCTATTCTATTCCATTCCATTCCATTCCATTCCATTCTATCCCATCCCATCCAATATTTTCTATTCTATTCTATTCTATTCCATTCTATTCTATTCTATTCCATTCTATTCTATTCTTTTCTATTCCTATTCTATTCTATTCTATTCCATTCCATTCCATTCCATTCCATTCTGCATTCCGTTCCATTTCATTCCATTCCAGAGTTTCTGTTCTGTTAAGACTTTGAGCACATCATTTTGCTTCTGATCACAAGCAATTTTGATCATTTTTTAAAAAATTGTAATTCTGATGAAAGCTGATTGTAGGATGATTAGTAGAGGCAGTCCTTGACTTACAACAGTTTGTTTAGTGTCCGTTCAAAGTGACCACCGCCCTGAAAAAAATGACTGATGACTGTTTTTCACACTTAGGACCGTTGCAGCATCCCCATAGTCACGCGATCAAAATCCAGATGCTTGGCCACTGTTTCCTATTTATGACGGTCACAGTGTCCAGGGGATCACGTAATCTGCTTTTGCGACCCCCCTGGGGAGCAAAGTCCATGGGGAAAGCCAGATTCACTTACCAACGATGTTACTGACTTAACAATCGCAGTGTTTCGCTTAACCCACGGTGGCAAGATAAGTCGTAAAACGGGGTAGAGCTCGCTTAACAAATGTCTCACTTAACAACGGAAATTTCGGGCTCCATGGTGGTCCTCAATCAAAGACTAACTGCACGGCTGCCCTAGACCCAATCAAACTGCATTCAACTCCAAAACGAATAGCTAGATACCTAAACTGTCTGAAATAACATTCCAAAAATGCTGCTTAAACATTTGGTGGGGGGTTTTTTGGCCTACATATTCATAGTTAAAAACAAAGTGAGTTTAGTGCACACTCTACTGTTCAGAACTAAAAATTGAAGACTGCAGGATCTTTGCAGCTGTAGCCTTAATTTGGCTATAGCTCAGTAAAGAACAATGCAACCAATCTAGAGGAAGTCAAATAAATTAGTTGTGGTTGATTGTTTCCTTCGATGCCAGCTTAGATTTTTGAAAAATCAATCAATCAATCAATCAATCAATCAGAATAGATCTGGAAAGGACCTTGGAGGTCTACTAGTCCAACCCTCTGTTTAAGCAGGAGATACCCTATACCATTTCAGACAAATGGCTGTCCAGTGTCTTCTTAAAAACCTCCAGTGATGAAGCACCTACAATTTCTGGTGGCAAGCTGTTCCACTGGTTAATTGTCCTCACTCTTAGGACGTTTCTCCTCAATTCCAGGTTGCTTCTCGGAATGATTAGTTTCCATCCATTGCTGTCTTCTACTCTTCTCGCACCTAAACATTGCTGTGAAATAAAAACAATTTATCAGTTTGAATTTCACCAATCCATAATAACCGAGGGGATTTTTCCGGGAAATATTTTCTAGGCCAGTCTTGCTTTGGGAGGGAAATAATATCTGAAAAGATATCTATCCTGATAGACCAAAGATCCTTTTTCAAGAGCTGAGTGGACTTTTCTTTTTCTTTTCTTTTTTTTTTAAGACATTTCGCTTCTCATCCCAGAAGCTTCTTCGGTTCTGACTAGATGGTGGAGGATGGAAGGATTTATATCCCTTGCAGACAGCTGATCATTTGCATCCTTTTTGAGGGTCGTTGAGGCCACCTGGAGGTTTATGACCTTAATGAGACCTCAATGACTCTCTAAAAGGATGCAAATGACCAGCTGTCTGCAAGGAATATAAATCCTTCCATTCCCCACCATCCAGTTAGAACTGAAGAAGCTTCTTGGATGAGAAGCGAAACGCCTTCAAAGAAAAAACCAGAAAGTCCAGTCGCCTCTTGAAAAAGCACCTTTGGGGCAACCACGACGCGGATGACTGAGAATTTCCGTAGACACTATTCTGATAGACGTAGAAAAACAAAACCCATTAAAATATTCTTGTTATTTTGCTTTACAGGAATCTGTCATTGAAAAGGGAACAATTGCCTATCAGAACTGGGTCGTTCCGGGAAGTGCCATCTACCGACAGTTTTGGTTGTTTGATGTCCAGAATCCAGAGGAGGTGATGATGAATGGTTCTAATCCAATCCTGAAGCAGAAAGGTCCTTACACCTACAGGTAGGTCAAGCCCTGAGGATCGGTATGTCTTGGGGACTTGGAAGAAGGATTAGAGCAGAGGTCTTCAAACTTGGCAGCTTTAAGACTGGTGGACTTCAACTCCCAGAATTCTCCAGCCAGCTATTTTATCTCTCCTCTACTTCTTCCACTCCACCAACCCCCCACTCCCTTCTAGCACTGATGATGTTACCTAGTTGGGTCATGAAAAGCCTGCAAGAAACAATCAAGCTCAGAAAGCACTAAGGACTCCACAATCCTCCTCCTCTTCCTCCTCCTCCACTCCTCCTCTTTCTCCTCCTCCTCTCCTCTTCCTTCTACTTCCTCCTCCTCTTCCTCCTCCTCTTTCTCCTCTTCCTCCTCTTCCTTTTCTTCCTCCTCCTCCTCTTCTTCCTACTTTCTCCTCTTTCTCCTCCTCTTCCTCCTCCTCCTCCACCTCCTCCTCTTTCTCCTCCTCCTCTCCTCTTCCTTCTACTTCCTCCTCTTCTTCCTCCTCCTCTTTCTCCTCTTCCTCCTCTTCCTTTTCTTCCTCCTCCTCCTCCTCCTCCTCCTCCTCTTCTTCCTACTTTCTCCTCTTTCTCCTCCTCTTCTTCCTACTTTGCCTCTTTCCCTCCTCTTTTCCCTCCTCTTCCTCCTCCTCCTCTTCCTCCTCCTCCCTCTCCTCTTCCTCCCCCCTCCTCCTCTTCTGCTTCTCCTCTACTCCATAAATCAATTTTCCCAATTCAGAGATAGCACTGATGATGTTACCTAGATGGGTCATGAAACATCTGCAAGAATGCCCGCCCTTGGACTTCGGAGAGGGGCGGCATATAAATTCAATAAAGAAATAAATAAGAAAATATCCAAGCTCAGAGAACACCACAGTCGTTGTTGTCCTCCTCCTCCTCCTTCTCCTCCTCCTCCTCCTCCTCCTCTTCCTCCTCCTCCTCCTCTTCCTCCTCCTCTTCTCCTTTACTCCATAAACCCCACTCCTTTCTAGCATGGATGAGGTTACCTAGCTGGGTAATAAAATGTCTGCAAGAAAACCAGGCTTAGAGACCACTAAGGATCCCACACTCCTCCTCCTCCTCCTCCTCCTCCTCCTCCTCCTCCTCCTCCTCCTCCTCCTCCTCCTCCTCCTCCTCCTCACACAAGAAACAGCCTGCAGCTCACAGATTCCCTACGCCTTAGCTTTTATATTCTTAACAAATGGCCCTGGAAAGTCTTAATATACCTGGTTATTACCCAATATATTTTTCTTCCCTATTATCTGACCTTCGACCATAGCGATAATTTCTGGGGTTTCCCCCCCCCCCACCCTAAAAGCAAATAACATTAGTTGTCCGGATGTGCTTTCTGTAAGTGGGGATCTTGGAAAACACTGTAGTTAGAAAATGAGAGGAAGCATTTCCCTTGCTTTGAAAATCACATTAGAAGGGAACACAAATGGATAACGTCGTCACGAGGCACTAAGCAGGCACACTCCCCTTGGCGTGCACCCGGAGGCTCCAACTGGTGCAGAATGCGGCCGCGCAGGGGATTATGGGAGCAACGGGGCGCTCCCATGTGACTCTTCTCCTGCGCGAGCTGCATTGGCTTCCGGTGGACTTCTGGGTGCGCTTCAAGGTGTTGGTGATCACCTTTAAAGCGCTCCATGGCTTAGTGCCGGGGTACTTACGGGACCGTCCTCCGCCACCAATTGCCTCCCACCGGCCAGTTCGCTCCCACAGAGAGGGCCTCCTCAGGGTGCCGTCGGCCAGAATATGTCGGCTAGCGACCCCCAGGGGGAGAGCCTTCTCTGTGGCAGCCCCCGCCCTCTGGAACGATCTACCCCCAGAGATACGAGTGATCCCAGACCTCCGGACTTTACGTCGGACCCTTAAAACCTACTTTTTCCAGTTAGCCGGGCTGTCCTGATTTTATGGTTGGTTTTTAAAATTTGATATGGATTTTAATTGAAATGTTTTAAATGATGGGCCAAATTTTATTTAATTATTTTAAATCTATTTTAACTTTTGTGTATGAATGTTTTATATTTGGCTGTTGAGTCCGGAAGGAGAAGGGCGGTATAGAAATCTGAAAAAATAAATAAATAATAAATAAATAAACCCCACGGTGCCTATTGAGGGGAAGGGAAATTATGGGAAGGGTATATAGTTCCATGCCCAACATCTGGAGAGGGGAGGTTTAGCAAGTCTAAGATTGCACACCGAAAACGCCACACGCAAGTCATGTTTTAAATGGGTTGTTGTTATGCATGAACACAACTCTCTAGAGCAAGTTGACCAGTGGAGTTGTTGTTTTCATCCAGCTTCTACAAACCAGCTTTGTTTTGGCTTTGATCTCCATGGGGATATTATATAGGCTTTCTGGCTTGGCCCAAGGTAAACTATTTGCCTCAGCCCTTGTGTCCTCGGGCTAAGAACAACGGAAAGCTGCTTTCAAGTGTGCGTGTTTCTGTGTGTGGTTTGCTCTTGCTGGTGGCCATCTGAACAGCCATCAAAATGAAACCATATCCGAACCATCGGCTTTGGGTTGGGAGGCAGAGGGATGATGGCTTTTTCATCAGGATGCATAAGAGTAATGCAAAACATATTGAAAGAGGCTTCAAATGTGCATATAAACGAGGGAAGGAAAGGAAAGGAAAGGAAAGGAAAGGAAAGGAAAGGAAAGGAAAGGAAGTAAATAGATGGGGAAGGTAAGGAAAGGAAGGAAAAGAGGAATTGGATGGGAAAGGGGAATTGAAATGGGAAAGGAAAGGAAAGGAAAGGGAAGGGAAGGGAAGAGGAAAGGAAAGAAAAGGAAGTAAATAGATTGGGAAGGGAAGGGAAGAAAAGAGAAGGAAGATAAAAAGAGGAGAAAGGAAAGAGGAGAGGAGAGGAGAGGAGAGGAGAGGAGAGGAGAGGAGAGGAGAGGAGAGGAGAGGAGAGGAAAGGAAAGGAAAGGAAAAGAAGATAAAAGGAGGAGAAAGGAAAGGAAAGGAAGTAAATAGATGGGGAAGGGAAGGGAAGGAAAGGAAGATAAAAGGGGGAAAAAGAAGGAGAGGAGAGAAAAAGGGAGAGGAGAAATGGGAGGGGAGGGGAAAAACAAGGGGAGGAGATGGGAGAAGAGAGGTGAGAGAAGGAGGGGGAGTAGAAGAGATGGGAGAGGAAAGGAAAGGAGAGGGAAGGGGAGGGGAGGGGGTAGAAGACATGGGAGAGGAGAGGAGAGGAGAGGAGAGAAAAGGAAAGGAAAGGAAAGGGATTTGATGGTCAACTATCCAATATTCTACTGGCAGAGAGTGCAAGCTTTAGAAGATAGAATAACAGAGTTGGAAGGGACCTTGGAGGTCTTCTAGCCCAGCCTCCTGCTCAAGCAGACAAATGGGTTGTCCAATCCCTTCCTGAAAACCTCCAGTGATGGAGCACCCACAACTTCTGAAGGGAAGCCCTTCCACCAATTCCGTTGTTCACCCCGTTAACAAGTGGCGTCTTTTCCTTCTTCCCTCAAAGGATGCGCTACAAGCCCAAAGAAAACATCACCGAACATGTTGACAACACCCTCTCATACCTCCAGCCGAATATCATCCGTTTTGAACCCGAAATGTCAATTGGCTCAGAAAATGACAATATCACCACTGTCAACCTTGCTGTTGTGGTAAGCGAGCCCTCCCAGAAGATTTCTGTCATCTGGATCTGAAATTGTAAATAATCGATCCATAAAAGATGGGGATTCTCAGGGCGTGAGAATGTGAACGTGGAGTGATGTTCCGTTTTAGTCTCTTCAGCATCGTGGATGAATGAAATGGATTTTTCATGGGATTCACCTGAAAGTTTCCTAAAATTGGTCCATTTGACTCCAATGGGTTTCCTTCAGAGGTGAAATTCAGCCGGTTCTGACCGGTTCGCACGAACCGGTAGTGGAAATTTTGAGTAGTTCAGAGAACCGGCAAATACCACCTTTGGCTGGTCCCGCCCTCCCGCCCCCGCCGTTCCCTGTCCTATATTCCCTTGCTTTTTTAGCTCATCTGATTCGCGCGGGAGAGCGGATTGTTGCGCCTCAGGTGAGCTAAACAACAGCTCAGCTCACCACCGCTGCCACCGAGGGCGGTTTTTGAGTGCTGCGTGAGCGCGCACAAAGCACACTCTCATAGAACCGGTAGGAAAAGATTTGGAATCCCACCGATGATTTTAATTCCTCTCTCCCACAAACATGTTGTGGTTGTGTTAACCTGGCCATGTATGTTCTTTAGCTTCAGCGTCTTTTCCATTGAAACCTTTGGGGACTGAGGAAACGTCTCAGGTGCCCTTGTCCGTTCTATTCTCGGCTACTTTTGATGAGATGGCTAACAAAGGTACCAATTATTACTGCTTGGTAACATCTCTAGAGGAGCCACCCAGACCTCCAGAGATTGTGAGGTTCCCAGTCAGACATATGGCCAGAACCTCCTGGGCTGTGTGTCCAGAATAGTTTAGCCTTTGTTTGTATCCAATTTTTGAAACGAGGCTATTTAAATACACACATCTATCTATCTATCTATCTATCTATCTATCTATCTATCTATCTATCTATCTATCTATCTATCTATCTCAATCTCTCTCATCTCTCTCTCTCTCATAAATATATCCTCTCTCTCTCTCATCTCTCTCTCTCATATATATATCTATATATATATCATCTCTCTCATCTCTGTCTCATCTCTCTCTCTCTCTCTCTCTCATAAATATATCATCTCTCTCTCATCTTTCTCATCTCTCTCTCTCATCTCTCTCTCATCTCTCTCACGTGTTCTCTCTCTCACTCATCTCTCTCTCTCATCTCTCTCATCCCTCTCATCTCTCTCTCATCTCTCTCTCACGTGTTCTCTCTCTCTCATCTCTCTGTCTCTGTCTCTGTCTCTCTGTCTCTCTCTCTCATCTCTCTCACGTGTTCTCTCTCTCACTCATATCTCTCTCTCTCATCTCTCTCATCTCTCTCTCATCTCTCACATGTTCTCTCTCTCATCTCTCTGTCTCTCTGTCTCTCTCTCTCTCTCTCATCTCTCTCTCACGTGTTCTCTCTCTCACTCATATCTCTCTCTCTCATCTTCTCATATATATATATATATATTATATATATATATATATATATATATATATATATATATATATATATATATATATATATATATATCTGATTATATATATACTGTATATGATATATATTATATCATCTCTCTCATCTCTCTCTCTCTCATCTCTCTCTCATCTCTCTCTCTCTCATCTCTCTCTCTCTCATCTCTCTCTCACGTGTTCTCTCACTCATTTCTCTCATCTCTCTCTCATCTCTCTCTCACATGTTCTCTCTCTCTCTCTCATCTCTCTCTCACATGTTCTCTCTCTCTCTCTCATCTCTCTGTCTCTGTCTCTGTCTCTGTCTCTGTCTCTGTCTCTGTCTCTCTCTCTCTCTCTCTCTCTCTCTCTCTCTCATCTCTCTCTCCCTCCCATGTTTTCCTGAAAATAAGACCTGGTCTTATTTTCTTTTGACCCCCGAATAAACAGCTAGGGCTTCTTTTTGGGGGAGGGGTCTAATTACTGACTCACCTTGTGGTGGCAGCACCGACAGCCCTACCCAGCAGAAGCCCGCTGCCGACCCACTTCTTCTGCGGCCGCTTGTGGTACTGAAAAATGTGACTTATGACCATTTTTCACATTTACGACCATTGCAGCATCCCCACGGTCATGTGATCAAAATCCAGATGCTTGGCAACTGATTCATATTTAGGATGGTTGCAGTGTCCTGGTGTGTGTGTGTGTGTGTGTGTGTGTGTGTGTGTGTGTGACATAATCCCTGGTGACGACAGGGAAGTCAACGGGAAAGCCAAATTCACTTAACAACAGTGTTGCTAACTTAACAGCTGCAGTGATTCACTTAACCACCGAGGCAGGAAAGATCGTAAAATGAGGCAAAGCTCACTTAACAACAACTGCCTCACTTAACAACATGAATTTTTGGGCTCGGTTGTGGTCGTAAAGTTCGAGGTATCGGTATAATAAATGAAGTTGTTAAGCAGGTGCTTCGTTTCAAAACTTTAAGATATCCTGTGATTTGATCGCATATAGGACTTACTTCAAGGCTGTTTGTGTCAATTTGCGTCCCAGTGTCAAAAATTTAAGTCATGTTGGTATTTACCTTCAGGCTGCACCGGCTTTGTTTAAAGCTGGACTCATTCAAGCTTTGATGGACATCTGGATGAAAGCATCAAAATCAAATTTTCTCCAAACGAGAAGTGTGAAAGAAATACTTTGGGGCTACGAAGATCCGTTCTTGAAGAAAATCCCCATGGTGAAAGTTAATACGGTTGTAGGAGTATTCTACCCTGTAAGTATGAACTGAAAGGGAAAATTATTTCCTTGCGATGTGATTGTAAGAAAAGCGTCTGTGCTGGTATAATAGCAAGAGTCCTTAGACTTATATACTGCTTCACAGTGCTTTACAGTGTGTGTGTGTGTGTATAAACACTCATCCTGCTTCTCTCCAGAAACTGAAGAATGTTGTTCATATCTTAGATTTTATACAGCAGAGTTTTAAATGCTAGCCAATTTATCTTGAGGATGGAGCCTGTTTGTATCAAAAATTAATTTTTCTCTTCTTTCTCTCTTTCAAGTACAATGAAACATTGGATGGCCCTTACCAAATTCACAGTGGGAAAAATGATTTAGCGAAGAAAGGAATTATCATCACTTATAATAATAGCAGGTATAATATATTTGGGGAAATACAGCTTTTTTTAAAAAAAATAAAAAAATACAACAGTTTAGCAGTCTGTTCTGTATTGTGAACTCTTGATGTCTCTCTCTCTCTCTCTCTCTCTCTCTCTATCTATCTATCTATCTATCTATCTATCTATCTATCTATCTATCTATCTATCCTCTCTCTCTATCATGTAATCTAATCTAATCTATTTACCTATCATCTATCTATCTATCTATCTATCTATCTATCTATCTATCTATCTATCTATCTATCTATCTATCCTCTCTCTCTCTCTATCATCTAATCTAATCTAATTTAATCTAATCTATTTACCTATCATCCATCTATCTATCTATATCTATCTATCTATCTATCTTTCTATCTATCTATCTATCTATCTATCTATCTATCTATCTATCATCTATCCATCTATCTATCTTATCTCTCTCTTTCTCTATCTAATCTCTATATCTATCATCTATCATCTATCACTATCTATCTATCTATCTATCTATCTATCTATCTATCATTTATCCATCTATCATCTATCCATCTATCTATCTCTATTTTATCTCTCTTTTCTCTATCTAATCTCTATATCTATCATATCTTTCTATCTATCTATCATATCTATCTATCTATCTATCTATCTATTTATCTATCATCTATCCATCTATCATCTATCCATCTATTTATCTCTATTTTATCTCTCTCTTTCTCTATCTAATCTCTATATCTATCATATCTATCTATCTATCTATCATCTATCCATCTATCTATCTCTATTTTATCTCTCTCTTTCTCTATCTAATCTCTATATCTATCATCTATCTCTATCTATCTATCTATCTATCTATCTATCTATCATCTATCATCTATCCATCTATCTCTATCTCTCTTTATCTAATCTCTATATCTATCATCTCTATCTATCTATCTATCTATCTATCTATCTATCTATCTATCTATCTATCTATCATCTATCCATCTATCTCTATCTTATCTCTCTCTCTCTCTTTCTCTATCTAATCTCTATATCTATCATCTATATATCTTATCTATCTATCTGTCTGTCTGTCTATCATCTATCCATCTATCTATCTCTATTTTATCTCTCTCTTTCTTTAATCTCTATATCGATCATCTGTCTTTATCTATCTATCTACCTACCTACCTACCTACCTACCTATCTACCTACCTTAAATTCCCCAATACAGGTGCAGAATATTCAGACATAGAAAGGCCTGTTGCTTGTCATGTGATATTGAAGATCAATGAATTCTCTTCTTGGTTGTCACCCAATGTTGGCCCTCATGGATCAGTAGCATTCAAAGACAATTGTTAGGATCTTGCATAAAATGACTTTATTGTCATCACAGGGTCAGTCCTAAGAAAGTCTTCCACTTGACTCTTAGTGTCAAGTCCTTATCCTAAATCAGTGAATATTGCATTTTCAGTGGTACTCCTGTGCCATCCCAAACACAGAAATGTGAGCAGATTAAGGATGATTAAAAACCCGCAGTGATGCCACCAGGGTTGAGACACTTTCGGGCAGAGCTGGTGAACTATTGCTACTCTTATTCGTTCATTTCCATTTCATCTCTGTGGAAGGAAGAAAGGAAGAGTAAGAAGACAAGGACTTCCATTTTTCTAAAACCCTTTTCAGAACTTCATTTGGCTGCAACATAATTCGTAAGAGGAAGTTAATTTAACCTGAAATTTGAGAGCATCCTGCCATAAAGTTTGGGGAGGGGAGGTAAAAGGAGTGGGGATGACAGGAAGCAGAAGTGCCAATTGGAGAGAATGGTGATGTCAGCACTTCAACCTGCATTTACTCTAGTGCTGACATAAGAAGGAGAAGAGGGGGCAGCTGGCAAGAGGACGCTTGACTACCTACTTATTTTCCCTGAAGATAATATCCCCTAGGAGATGAGATGGGAGGGGGGACATTCCTGGAAGCTGAAGTAATAGATATGGGGAGAGTGATTTGGAAGATGGCCAATGAGACACAGAGAATTGGGGAACAGAAAGGGAAGGTTTGGGGTCAGGAAGTCAGTGTTGGCTACGCCACAATCGGGGACAGATTGTCGTGCTTAATAAAATGAAAGATTTCATCAAAGACTATTTGTTTGGAAATGCAATTTATTTTATTTGAGACGACATCAAAACCTGACAGGCTGACAGATCCAATGACACAACCTTGAGAACAGAATGCAAACAGCCACCAAAAGGCCCCAAAAGGTGGAGTGGTACCAAAACACTGAGTTTGAACCTTACTGGACATCCCCAAGTTGACCATGGGGGGAGAGCCTGAGAAAAGGGGGAAATTCCAAGTTTGAGTGGGAAACCCATAGATCTGACTTTGCTACACTGTAACCAACTAGCTTCAGTAAAGTATACCTTGAACCACACAATGGAATCGAGGGTCTTTCTTTTCTGAATGCTCAGCTTGGGACGGGCCTGACAGTTATTAGTTATACACACTCTTCTTATCCTACCTTAAATTCTTCCATTTTTTTCAATTCCTTCCTATGAAGAATATAATTATAAGAGAATATAATTATATGGAAATCGAATATCTGTCCCCGTATTTGTTTAATTTTCACACTTTCCTTAGATTCAAAAGACAACAATTGTTTAGCTAAGAAAACTGCCTGGCATCTAAGTTATATGTTATTTTTCTTCTCTTCCCCCCCCCCCAAAGGACCATTAGATACTGGAAAAGTTATTGTGGCATGGTGAATGGCACAGGTGAGTGTATCAATGGAACAGTATTGAATGTTAATTTTTGCGTAGAACGCACAATAAACATTTTGGCCTGCATTAAAATAGGCAAGGTTGGAACTGAGCCAACCTGCTAAAGATCCTACTTCAACACATAAAATAAAATAAATAAAAAATACAATAAAACAGTGCCCCTGCTTTTTTTCTTTACCCTATCAATATCAAAAAGAAACTTTGAAATTTATGAAAACAGAAAGATGGATAAATATCGAGGACAAGTTCCCCAAAGTTAGAAAATAAAGGCCGTATGTTAGGGGGGGGAAATTGGTTGCAATTGCTACACTAAAAATGAAGTGACATGTTTGGAAGGAAAGGTTTTGAAGGATTCTGTCTTTTACAGAAAGCAAGATTAATTTCAGGGTCCTGTTTAAATTTATTCTCCCCAAGCATGCCATTTAAGTGTGAGATCATAAGTTCTTAGAATAGAATTCTTCATACAGTAGTGGCCAAAATTGTGGAAACCTTTTGGGAAAAGTTGTGTTTTCTAAATCTAGCTAATAACACCACTTTCTTTTTTGAAGTAGTACCATAAAATTATATATCAGCGGAAAGATAAGTTAATCAAGAATGTCACACAATAACTTTTATGAAGGATTTGCTATTAGAATAGCAGTTACAGTAGAAAGAAGAAAAGTGAAACACGTAGAAAAAACGAGATACACAAAAAATTATCACCATGTCAGTTAATGCTTCGTTGGGTAACCTTTAGCATGAATGACGGCCTTACAACGTCTTCCCATGGAGTGAACCAAGTCTTTTAGTTCTGCAGCTGTTATCATGTGAAACTAAGATTGAATGATGGCTTCTATTAACTGGGTTTTATTGCTGGGTCGCTTCAGACTAGCAAGTTTCTTTAGTCGGCTCCATAGATTTTCAATTGGGTGAAGGTCTGGGCTATTCCCAGGCCATTCCAGCAGCGGAATAGGATTATCTTGAAACTCAAAAAAAAAGTGGTGTTATTAGCCATCAAATCTCAAAAATGCCCTTTTCTCAAAAGGTTTCCACAATTTTGGCCACTCCTGTAGAATAGAATTCTTTATTGGCCAAGTGGCCACACTCGGAATACGGCATTCAGTTTTGGTTGCCACAATGTAAAAAAGAGGTTGAGACTCTAGAAAGAGTGCAGAGAAGAGCAGCAAAGAGGATTAGGGGACTGGAGGCTAGAACATACGATGAACGGTTGCAGGAACTGGGTAGGTCTAGTCTAGTGAAAAGAAGGACTTAGGGGAGACATGATAGCAGTCTTCCAATATTTCAGGGGTTGCCCCAAAGAAGAGGGAGTCAAGCTATTCTCCAAAGCACTTGAGGGCAGGACAAGAGGCAATGGGTGGAAACTAATCAAGGAGAGAAGCAACTTAGAACTAAGGAGGAATTTCCTGACAGATAGAACAATTAATCAGTGGAACAACTTGCCTCCAGAAATTGTGAATGTTCCAACACTGGAAATTTTTAAGAAGATGTTGGATAACCATTTGTCTGAAGTGGTGTAGGGATTCCTGCCTAGGCAGGGGGTTGGACTAGAAGATCTCCAAGGTCCCTTCCAACTCTGTCCTTCCCTTCCCTTCCCTTCCCTTCCCTTCCCTTCCCTTCCCTTCCCCTCTCCTCTCCTCCCCTCCCCTCCCCTCCCATTCCATTCCATACCATTCAATTCCATTCCATTCTTTCCTATTCCTATTCTTTCCTATTCCATTCCATTCAATTCCATTCCATTCTTTCCTATTCCTATTCTTTCCTATTCCATTCCATTCCATTCCATTCCATTCCATTCTATTCTATTCTATTCTATTCTATTCTATTCTATTCTATTCTATTCTATTCTATTCTATTCTATTCTATTCTATTCTATTCTTTCCTATTCCTATTCTTTCCTATTCCATTCTATTCTATTTTTTGGGCACCTACTGTTCAATAAATGGTTTTTCAGGTTGTAAGTCCCAATTTGCCTTGAAGTCCTACGTCGGTCAACTCCAGAAGAATAATTGACCTGCACGTTGTCAACAGGGGAAGATATGCTTTATTCCTTTAGTTCTGGAAGGCCTGCCTTGGCCCTCTGCTAACCCAACAGTTAGAACCGAGCAGCTGAGTTGGATGAACAGGGAAGCAGACTCAGCGTCCGTTGTAAAGTCGCGTTTTGAATTCAGAAGCAGGGATTTTTTTGTATGCATTGCGAGGCTCTTCAATTCACAAGATGTTCTGATTGTAACTCGCAGATGGGGCTTCGTTCCACCCTTTTATGAACCAGAGTGAAGAGCTGCGTTTCTTTTCGTCCGATATTTGCAGGTAACCCATCTTGAACAAACTGGGCTCCTTCCTTTCATCCGCAAATACAAGTAAACCACAACTGATGACCAAAAATTCAAAAATTTTAGCAAGGGGTTCTCTGCCTGGCTGCTGGGTGGGAGTGGCCATGGTGGGTGTGGCCTAGTTGGCCTCCTGCACCATGGGGGGAATTTTTGCCCTCCCCGGGCTCCGGAGGCTTTCCTTGAGCCTCCGGGAGGGCGAAAATGGCCTCCCCAGGCTCCAGAAGCTGTCTAGAGGCCGGAAACAGGCCCATTTCCAGCCTTCCCAAACTTCCACTAGGCCCGTTATTTGCCCTCCCCAGGCTCTGGAGGCTTTCTTGAGCCTCCGGGAGGGCGAAAATGGCCTCCCCAGGCTCCAGAGGCCCTCTGGAGGCCGGAAACGGGCCCATTTCCAGCCTTCCCGAACTTCCACTAGGCCCGTTATTTGCCCTCCCCAGGCTCTGGAGGCTTTCCTTGAGCCTCCGGGAGGGCGAAAATGGCCTCCCCAGGCTCCAGAGGCCCTCTGGAGGCCGGAAACGGGCCCACTTCCAGCCTTCCCGAACTTCCACTAGGCCGTTATTTGCCCTCCCAGGCTCTGGAGGCTTTCCTTGAGCCTCCGGGAGGGCGAAAATGGCCTCCCCTGGCTCCAGAGGCCTCTGGAGGCCGGAAACGGCCCATTTCCAGCCTTCCCGAACTTCCACTAGGCCCGTTATTTGCCCTCCCCAGGCTCCGGAGGCTTTCCTTGAGGCAGAGACCTTAACCATTTCATTATCATCCCCATTATTTTGGAGACCAATTGTAGCTCTTTCCAAAACTCTACATTTCAAGGCCACCTGAGAAGGTGCATTTAATCGCTTTGTTTTTGTACGGCTTTATATGGTTTTTTTTATATGGCTTTTTTTATATGCCTCCCCAACATAACGATGGACTCTGTTTCCACCTTGGTGAGATGCCGACGATGCTACTCACCCCATTGCCATGATGGAGAGTAATCTTGATTGAAGATCCCCTCGTTTAGATCAAAGAACGAGATCCAAGATGTTAGATGATCAACTGATGCTCGGAGAAATGGGATTGATGACTGGACTTTTGAATTTTCTTTGAAGACGTTTCGCTTCTCATCCAGGAAGCTTCTTCAGTTCCGACTGAGGAACCGAAGAAGCTTCTTGGATGAGAAGCGAAATGTCTTCAAGGAAAAACGAAGTTCAGTTGCCTTTTGAAAAAGCCCTTTTGGGACAAACGTGACCTGGATAACTGAGAATCTCCATAGATAAGATTGCTGGATCTTTTTTTAAAAAAAATCATGCTGATCATCCTTCATAGTGATGCTTCGTATTATTTTTTTACGAAACAGGTCAATGTCCGCCAAATTTGAAAGCGAGCAGATGGTGAAAGGCATCCAACTTTTTCGCTTCGTTATCCCTCCGTCGGCTTTTGCGTCGCCCCTTACCAATCCTGACAATATTTGCTTCTGCACCGATATCACTGTCAGCAAGAACTGTACATTAGGTGGAGTAATGGATATCAGCGCCTGCAAAGCAGGTAACGGAGTGGAAATGCACTTAAAAAAAAAATAATCCTTCTTAATGATAGAGATGCCTAGAATGATATGCATCGGTAGACACTCCTCACCCCGTCTGTAATGGCGTCAAAGCTTGTGTTGTTTGTTAGTTACAATCCCAGAGGGAGAGGCTGAATAAAAAGAGCAACGGGTTTAAACCTCAAGTCAAAAAAGCAGGGGTGGGTCAAACTCAAGGCTCGTGGGCTGGATCCGGCCTGCAGGGTGCTTAGATCTGGTCCATGGGCCTGCCTTGGAAACAGCAAAGGACCGGCCTGCGGTACCTCTGCTAGCAAAAATAGAGCTCAGGAGGGCACGAGCTCCATTTTCAGCCACAACAGCCTCCTGCAGCCCTCTGGCAGTGAAAACAGAGCTTGGGAGGACCACGCGCAGGCCTCCCAGCCTCCGTTTTCAGCTGTGATGGCCTCCTGCAGCCCTCTGCATTGAAAACAGACCTCGGGAGGGCCACACGTAGGCCTCCCAAGCTCCGTTTTCAGCCGCGCCGGCCTCCTGCAGCCCTCTGGCAGTGAAAACAGAGCTTGGGAGGACCACGCACAGGTCTCCCAGCCTCCGTTTTCAGCTGTGATGGCCTCCTGCAGCCCTCTGCCATTGAAAACAGACCTCAGGAGGGCCACACGTAGGCCTCCCAAGTTCTGTTTTCAGCCGCGCCAGCCTCCTGCAGCTCTCTGGCAGTGAAAACAGACCTCGGGAGGGCCACACGTAGCCCTCCCAAGCTCCATTTTCAACCGCGCCACATGACCTGGATGACGGAGAATCTCCATAGAGGAATTAGACTACATATAAGCACCGTTCCCCCAAATTCTTTTGAAGTTTTGGGTTTGGATCGTGTCCAATCAGCCAAGCTTCCTAGCAGTTGTACTTTGTGAGTAAGCTCCACTGAGTGGTTGGCTGCTCTCCCAAAGATAGAAACGTTTCCACTCAGTTTTGCTAATAGATCGGAACTTGATAATACAGCTTGTACATGGTCTTCATTTCCCTTTTATTTTTATAGGTAAACCAGTCTACATCTCATTGCCCCATTTCCTGCATGCGAGCAAGGAGTTTTTTCAATATGTTGACGGATTGAAGCCAGATGTGGAAGAACACAAAACCTTTCTGGATATAGAACCAGTAAGTGACTGAAAATTCCTTCTATCACATAGATTTTGACCCTTGGAGATAATTTTGTTCACTGAAGTGGAAGGTTTTCTCCAGGGGTGAAATCCAGCAGGTTCTGACAGGTTCTGGAGAACCGGTAGCAGAAAATTTGAGCAGTTGGGAAAACCGGTAGCGGAAATTTTGAGTAGTTTGGAGAACCGGCAAATACCACTTCTGGTTGGCCCCAGAGTGGGATGGGAATGCAGATTTTATAATATCCTTCCCCTGGAGTAGGGTGGGAATGGATATTTTGCAGTATTCTTCCCCTGCCACGCCCACCCAGCCACGCCCACCCAGCCATGCCCACAGAACCGGTAGTAAAATAATTTGGATTTCACCACTGGTTTTCTCCCAGTAGTTCATTCGGTCTGCAGATGGGATGTAGATTTTCAAAGGGCCCATCAGCAGAGGTGGTATTCAGCCGGTTCGGACCAGTTTTGGAAAACCGGTAGCAGAAATTTTGAGTAGTTTGGAGAACCGGCAAATACCACCTCTGGTTGGCCCTGCCCCCCTCCCGCTCCTTCCAGGAGCCCCAACACACCCCGTTTTGGCTCCCAAGGGGCTGCAGGGAGTCCTAGACTGTAAAACTGGGGCATCCAATCGATCTACTTGCTGCCTCCCAGCCTCCCAGCTGATTGGCTGGGTCTTCTTTGGTTGCCCTGCACAGGAAAATGGAGCTGGAAAGCAGGTTAGTGGAGTGGGGAGCAGTAGTAGGTTTCACTTACCTTCACTACCAGTTCGGAACTGAGAGCGCACGTGTGTGAGTGCTCGCTTCACTTGTGCACAGTGCTTCTGTGCATGTGCAGAGTGTCTGTGATGACATCCGGGTGAGTGGGCAGAGCCTCCCACCGCTGCCGCTACCAGTTCGCCCGAACTGGAGTGAACCAGTAGAAACCACACCATTGGTGGGGAGGGAATGGGGATTTTGCAGTATCCTTCCCCTGCCCACTGAAGTACGCCCACCAAGTCACGCCCACAGAACCAGTACTGTGTTTCCCCGAAAATAAGACCCTGTCTTATATTTTTTTTGAACCCTGAAATAAACGCTTGGCCTTAAATTTGGGGAGGTCTTATTATTTTGGGGCACATGGAGGAAACCAGAGGAAATGGCGGGGACTGGCAGTGCATGCATTTAAATATTTTCAGGGAGGGCTTATTTTCAGGGGAGGCTTATTTTATTGCATGCATAAAATAAGCCCCGATTGGGCTTATAATCAGGGGATGTCTTATTTTAGGGGAAAGAGGGTAGTAAAAAAAAAATGAATCCCACCACTGCCCATCAGCCTGTACTCCAAGAAAGGTTCGGGGTTATTATTTTGCTGCTTATTCTAAGAATGTTTAAAAAATGCAGCACCAACCTTAAAATCAAACATCAATTTCAAAGCTGATGAATATCTGGTTTAAATGAATTGCGATGAAATCATTGAAACAAGTAAGGTAGCATTGGCCTCCTGGCTATTGAGAGACAGCCAGTGGTGGGATTCAAATAATTTAACAACCGGTTCTCTGCCCTAATGATTTCTTCCAACAACCAGTTCACCAAACTGCTCAGAAGGTTAACAACCGGTTCTCCCGAAGTGGTGCGAACCGGCTGAATCCCATCACTGGAGACAGCCTTGTCCAATGCTTGTAAAACCCTTCCAAACTCGGCATCTGAATCCATTATTTTGAATGCATTATTTTTTTCTATTTAATGCTGCTAATGTTTGAATATTCCCACCCACAAAATTCACTGTATTTGCGTGTTTTGTTTTTTTTTAGACCACAGGATTTACCTTGCATTTTGCCAAAAGGCTGCAGATTAATATATTGGTGAAACCAAACATAAAAATCACGTAAGTCTTGACTGTTGTTCTTTTCTATTAATGAAAAGGTAGATTGTTTGTTCGGCATGTATGCTTGTCAGGAGAAGTGGCTAATTGGCAGTAGCATCTTAAAAGTAAAGGTTCACCTTGCACATATGTGCTAGTCGTTCCCGACTCTAGGGGGCGGTGCTCATCTACGTTTCAAAGCTGAAGAGCCAGCGCTGTCCGAAGACGTCTCCGTGGTCATGTGGCCGGCATGACTCAACACCAAAGGCATATGGAACGCTGTTACCTTCCCACCAAAGGTGGCCCCTATTTTTCTACTTGCGTTTTTTACGTGCTTTCGAACTGCTAGGTTGGCAGAAGCTGGAACAGGTAACAGGAGCTCACCCCGTTACGCGGCACTAGGGATTCGAACCGCCGAACTTGTCGAACGACAAGCTAAGTAGTAGGGGTCGAAATCTGCAAGATGGCAGGCATGACATCCTCACTGAAGTTCCACCCCTTTTCTAGGTGCAGACTATAGAGGTCAACTATGGCCTTCAGATCTCCCAGAAGCCTCTTCTAAAAAAATTCTGATAGGACAGATAGACAACGGTTGTGTGTAGGCTTTAAAATCAACAGGAGAAAATAAAAAACAAGATATCAACCAATCTCAATTGTCTGAGACACTTCCACCCACATTATAGATAAGGCCTTATCTGCTTTGTTGACCTCTTCTGCCCTTCCATAAATACATGTGTTTGGCCATCAAAACGAGAGCTTTCCTTGCTGTGTTTTGCTTATGCCATTAGCATTTTGAAAATGCCATTAGCCCTTTTTTTCAAAGGTAAGGGGACGGGGTGGCTCAGTGGCTAAGACGCTGAGCTTGTCGATTAAAAGGCTGGCAGTTCAGCGGTTTGAATCCCTAGTGCCGCGTAACGGGGTGAGCTCCCATTACTTGTCCCAGCTTCTGCCAACCTAGCAGTTCGAAAGCAGGTAAAAAATGCAAGTAGAAAAATAGGGACCACCTTTGGTGGGAAGGTAGCAGCGTTCCATGCGCCTTTGGCATTGAGTCATGCCGGCCACATGACCACGGAGACGTCTTCGGACAGCGCTGTCTCTTCGGCTTTCAAACGGAGATGAGCACCGTCCCCTAGAGTCGGGAACGACTAGCACATTTGTGTGACGTCTCCTTTACCGTAACGATCTAAAAAAGGGGTGTCAAACTTGATTCCATTGAGGGCCGCATCAGGGTTGTGTTTGACCTTGGGTGGCTGGGGTGGGCATGGCCAGCTCGACATGACTCATGTCGGGGGCCTCTGTGGTGACCCGAGGACTCTGCCAGCGAAAACGGGCTCCCAACCTCCATTTTCGGCCACGACAGTCTCCTGCAACTCTCTGCCAGTGAAAACTCTGCTATGTGCCCTCCCAAGCTCCATTTTTGCTGTCAGGGCCGATCTTTTCCTGTTTCCACAGTGACCCCATGGGCCAGATCTAAGCGCCCGGAATGCCAGATCAGGCCCTCGTGCCTTGAGTTTGATACCCCTGATGTTCTGTCCCCGTCTCTCACACACACACACACACAAACAGACAGCCGGGGGTTAAATAAACTGGCAGACAACCAATTCTTCCGATAAGAAGCTTGGCAGCAACCCAGTAGCTGCTTGCCAAGAAGTTTACTCATAAACAAAATACACACAGTCAAGAATTGTCCAGTTCGTAAAATAAATCCAAAGCCGATAATGTTGTTTTCAAAGATGCAATGTGACTCGATAGTAGTTAGTTTTGTCCGTCTCAGAGTCTGAATGGCCACCTCACCCCCTTTTATACCCTGTGGGGTGTGGTCCAGTGACTCAGCCTAATCTCTGGCACGCCTTTTCTTCTGTTGCGCGTGCTTATCTCTGCGACGCTGCCGAGGATCCAGCCAAGACTCATTACCCTCATCACTGTCCACCTGTGGCTGCGTGGATGTGCTTGGCCCTGGCCCTATCTCTTGCCCTTCGGCGGACACCAAAGGCATTGCCAGAGAGGAGGGTCCTGGAGAGGGAGGCCTTGCCAACTCCTCTCCTTCACTCTCGGAGTCCTTTCCTGCCATTGACACAGGCTCAGGTAACGGAGCCACAACACCTGATATGAAAAGTATAGGATAACAGAGTTGGAAGGGACCTTGGAGGTCTTCTAGTCCAACTCTATACCACTTCAGACAAATGGTTATTCAATCTCTCCTTAAAAACTTCCAGTGTTGGAGCATTCACAACTTCTGGAGGCAGGTTGTTCCACTGGTTAATTGTTCCAACTGTCAGGAAATTTCTCCTTAGTTCTAAGTTGCTTCTCTCCTTGATTAGTTTCCACCCATTGCTTCTTGTCCTACCCTAACCTAAATGAATGCAGACATTTCCGATTGGCTGGAGGAACAAGTAACATAGGCATTTTCTCTACAAGGCAATTTCAGCCGGGCTCCAAGAAAAATAGTATAGAACTCAAAGTAACATGGTCCTCTTTTCTTCCATGCTCAGAAAAAAAAAGCCGGCCCAAATTGAGTTGTCCTAATGTTTCTGCTTTTTTTTCTTTATTTTTGTTTCCTGCAGAGCACTAAAAAAAGTTAAACATCACTTTATCTTTCCTATTTTGTGGCTGAATGAGGTCAGTGGAAGTTTTTTTTTCTCTCTCTCTCTCTCTCAATTGCTGCAATCTTTCCTTTATACAGTAGTGACCAAATTTGTGGAAACCTTTTGGGAAAAGTGTACAGTATTTTCTAAAACTAGCTCTTAACACCACTTTTTTTTTTGAAGTAGTACCATAAAATTATATATCAATGGAAAGATAATGTAATCAAGAATGTAATGCAATAACTTTTAGGAAGGATTTGCTATTAGAGTAGCAGTTACAGTAGAAAGAAGAAGCGTGAAATGCATAGAAAAAACGAGATATACAAAAACGACCACCATAGAAAAAAACAACAATTGAGATATACAACAATGATCACCACCTCAATGAATACTTCATTGGGTAACCTTTAGCATGAATTAGGGCCTTACAACGTCTTCCCATGGAGTGAACCAAGTCTTTGAGTTCTGCAGCTGTTATCATATGAAACCAAGATTGAAGGATTGCTTCCATTAACTGGGTTTTATTGCTGGGTCGCTTCTGACTAACTAGTTTCTTTAGTCGGCTCCATAGATTTTTCAATTGGGTGAAGGTCTGGGCTATTCCCAGGCCATTCCAGTACTGGAATAGGATTATCTTGAAACTCCCCCCTCCAAAAAAAAGTAGTGTTATTAGCCATCAAACCTCAAAAATACACTTTTCCCAAAAGGTTTCCACAATTTTGGCCACTGCTGTAGTTTGACTCTCTGACCAATCTGGGATGACTGTTGATGGAAAAAAGGGGATTGGGTGGGGGTGGGAAATCCCCAGAAAAATCCGCTTCTATGCAATCATCTACTGATCATGGAGGGATTAAGAGTTCGTCTCAATTCTCCAATCGGGGAGAAGATCCAGAGATCCTGTCCTTAACTGGTCCGGCTTTCCTCTGAAATAAAAGCAGTAGAAACCTACTTCCAGGATCACTCGTTCTCTCCTTTCCAAGCCTTCGCTGCTTCTCCCTTCCATGTAAACTTCTCAATCCTGTTATATAGCAGGAAGCAAGAAAATTCTGGGTGGTTTCCTTATGGATGACATGAAGTCATCCAGCCCATCAATCAGGAGACGTTGTTTCTTCTTGCCTCCGTGCTACAGTGTTGACTGCACGGATGATGATCCAGTATTTGGCCATTCTGGTTAGGGGTTTTCCTCACATTGCTAACTGGGGAAGGGGCACATTTGTTAAAAACTCAGGGCTGTAGAAGTGCTTCCTCATAGCTGCCCCCTGCAGCCATTAATTTTTGACACAGCAGAAAGACATTATTAAACACATGGAGAACAGGGTTGGGATTCAGCCGGTTCGGGAAAACCGGTAGTTAAATTGCTACCTCGCTCTGTCCCTTCCCTTCCCGCCCCTTCCAGGAGTCCCCACACGCCCCATTTTGGCTCCCAGGTAAGGAGGCTTCAGGGAGGCCTAGGCCCAAAATAGGGGGGGGGCAGGGGGGGTTCTACTTACCTTTACTACCAGTTCGCAGCAGGAGTGCGCGCGCTTCTGCATATGCTCAGATCATCAATTATGATGTGCAAGTGGACGGAGCCTCCCACCGCTTTTATTACTGGTTCTAAAGAACCGGACAGAACTGGGAGCAACCCACCACTGGTGTGGGGGGGGGCGCACCCCGTCGTCCAATTTTGCTACCAGGAGGTTTCAGGGAGGCCTCATAGGTCCAAAATGGGCCACGGGGGGGGGCAGCCCATTTTCGCTCCCAGGGGGGTGCAGGAATCCGAGTGCTTCCTGTCACACCCCGTGGCCACACCCACCATGGCCACGCCCACCCAGCCGGTCATTAGGGCAGAGAACCGGTTGTTAAATTATTTGAATCCCACCACTGACGGAGACTAATAGCATTCATAACCGTTTTGTATTAAATCACATGTCTGTGGAGATTCTCAATCATCCAATCAGGGTTGCCCAACGGTGCTTTTTCAAAAGGCAGCTGGATTTTGTTTTTTCCTGGAAGAGGTTTCACTTCTCATCCAAGAAGCTTCTTCAGTTCTGACTGAAGTCCCAGTCAGAAATGAGTCAGAACTGAAGAAGCTTCTTGGATGAGAAGCGAAACCTCTTCCGGGAAAAACAAAGTCCAGTTGTCTTTTGAAAACACACACACATACACACACACACAACTTTGGGGCTATTAAACCAGACATAAGGATTCTCCAGAACTCAGTTCCTTGCTATGTTGTTCCTCCTCTTTCTCCTGGCTTTCCAACTGATCACAGAGCATCCATTGGCTATGTGCCATAGTCTTTTTCCCTGCTGCATCCTGGGTACTCTTATTTTATGCAAAAATTGTGCAAATTGCAAAATAGCACTTATTTGGGAAGAGTATTCCTGCTGCTGCGTGAGTGGTGCAGTGGCCTAGAGGGGGAGCTCTCGCCTCACAACCAGGAGGCTGTGAGTTTGATCCTAGGTAGAGGCAGACATTTCTTTCTCTGGACACAATGAGAATATATCTGCTGAACAAAACTCCGCATTGGTGACGGGAAGGGCATCCGGCCAGTAAACACTCTGCTAGCTCCATTCAGTTGCCCAGACTCCACCCTGCAAGGGATTATGAGGTCATTAAAAGAAGATGGTCATTCCTGCTGCTGGGTATTCAGGCTGCATTTTTCTGCTGGAGAGGATGCTGAAAAATACTTTCTCTCCCTCTCTTTTTCTCCAGTCAGCTATTATCAGTGATGAGAAAGCAGACGTTTTCCGATCCAAAGTGACCAACAAGATCAAACTGTTGCACTTCCTTCAGCTGGCGCTCATGATCGTCGGATCTGTGATCTTCCTGGGATTCCTAATTGCATTTTTCCTATGCAAAGGAAAGAGCCCTAAATAAGTAAGTGAGGTTTGGAATTAAGATCTGTAATTCATTCATTCATTCATTCATTCATTCATTCATTCATTCATTTCATTTCATTTCATTTCATTTCATTTCATTTCATTCATTCATTCATTCATTCATTCATTCATTCATTCATTCATTCATTTGGAAGGGCTCTTGGCTCCACCAGATTCTGGGTGCCATAGGGCTTCCTTCCTTCCTTCCTTCCTTCCTTCCTTCCTTCCTTCCTTCCTTTCTTTCTTTCTTTCCTTCCTTCTTTCTTCCTTGCTTCCTTCCTCCTTCCTTCTTTCCTTCCTTCCCTTCCTTCCTTCCTTCCTTCCTTCCTTCCTTCCTTCCTTCCTTCCTCCTTGCTTGCTTGCTTGCTTGCTTCCTTCCTTCCTTCCTTCCTTCTTTCTTCCTTGCTTCCTTCCTTCCTTTCCTTCCTTCTTCCTTCCTTCCTTCCTTCCTTCCTTCCTTCCTTCCTTCCTTCCTTCCTTCCTCCCATCCTCCCTCCCTCCCTTCCTTCCTTCATTTAGAAAATTTATATTGCCACCTACTCACACATGGCAACTCAAGATGGCTTAAAAGTAAAGATTCCCCTCGCACATACATGCTAGTCGTTCCTGACTCTAGGGGGCGGTGCTCATCTGCATTTCAAAGCCGAAGAGCCAGCGCTGTCCAAAGACGTCTCCGTGGTGATGTGGCCGGCATGACTCAACACCAAAGGCGCACGGAACGCTGTTCCCTTCCCACCAAAGGTGGTCCCTATTTTTCTACTTGCATTTTTTACCTGCTTTCGAACTGCTAGGTTGGCAGAAGCTGGGACAAGTCACGGGAGCTCACCCCGTTACGTGGCACTGGGGATTCAAACCGCTGAACTGCCGACCTTTCGATCAACAAGCTCAGCGTTGGACCGAGACATCTTTGGACAGCGCTGGCTCTTCGGCTTTCAAACAGAGATGAGCACCGTCCCCTAGAGTCGGGAACGACTAGCACATATGTGCCAGGGGAACCTTTATCTTTACCTTTACTCTAATGAAAAGAATGACTAGGCGTGACATGATAGCAGTCTTCCAATATTTGAGGGGCTCCTACAAAGAGGAGGGGGTCAAACTAATTTCCAAAAGGCAAGGCAAGAACAAAATGGTTGGAAACTAACCAAGGAGAGAGCCAACCTAGAACTGAGGAGAAATTTCCTGACAGAACAATGAATCAGTGGGACAACTTGCTCCCAGAAGTTATGGGTGCTCCAACACTGGAGGTTTTTAAGAAGCGATTGTCTGAAATGGTGTAGGGTTCCCTGCTTGAGTCTGGAGCTGGAGTAGAAGACCTCCAAGGTCCCTTCTATTATTCCATCCTATCAGTGGTGAAATCTGAACCGGTTTGCCACTGGTTTGCTGGCCGCGAATGTGCATTGTGCGTCAAACGTGCGCTCGCATGCACGGTGAACACCAAAATCACGCTGCCCATGTACGCATGCACATTACACGTCAAATGCGTGCTTCACGCGGAAAAAGGAAGCTTGAGAAGGTAAGTAGAACAGCGAGGGGGGGAACAGCTGTGCCATGCGATTTAGATTCACTAGAAAGCAGGATTTCCTGCTTTCTAGCTATTTTAAATCACGCGGCACAGCTGATCATCGGAAATACCAGTTCGGACAAACTGGTAGCATTTTTTTTTTTTTACTACCAGTTCGTGCGAACCGGTAGCATTTCACCACTGAGTTATATAGGACTTCCAGTTATTGATCCTTACTAGCAACAGGAAAATTGGTAGTACAGTGGTCTAAGGCACCCTGTTATTAAGCTGGTTATTAAGACCAGCTGCCTGCAATTACTGCAGGTTCGAATCTCGCCAAGGCTCAAGGTTGACTCAGCCTTCCATCCTTTCTAAGGTAGGTAAATTGAGGACCCAGTTTGTGGGGGCAATAAGCTGACTTTGTATAGATATACAAAAGAATGAAGGCTATTGCTTAGCGCATTGTAAGCCGCCCTGAATCTCCAGAGAAGGGCGGCATATAAATCAAATTAAAAAAAAAAATACAGTGATGAACACTGATGTGTTTTAATGAAGGCTGTGGACCCATAGCTTGAGGAAGAGATAAGAAAACAAAGATAAAATAATAATATGTCTTTTAAAACCTTGGCTCCAAGAGGCATTCAAATAGAAGTCCCAGTCAATCATCCAACATTTCTGGATTTATCGGACTCATTTGTGTTATTTTCTTTTCTCCGCCTGCAGGACGATGCTGCTGGTGAAAGCATCCATTTCTTCCAATTTCAAGCAGACAGTAGACCTGCCTTCCTGGTGTTTGTTGTTCCTTGTGCTCTGTGTATGTAAATATCCTGCGGAAGACGCCTGCCATACAAGCGGTGACAGATTAAGTCATTTTTCCAACCAGAACTCTACGGACATTTAAGTGCCCTGTTTCCCCTCTTCCCCCATCGGAAAGACTGGCCCGAAAAAACTGAACTTCTGGGTCTCTCTGAAGAAAATCCCATTTTCGCCCCCTTCAGAATGAAATTCCACTTTGGATTTGGATTTGTTCTGCCCGTTCTGCAGCTCAGCTGCCGTTTCCTCTGAGATTTTGCACCTTGGGAGTTGAAGAACGGGAGCCGAAGTTACGCAACTGAGTGGCTGGGTTGGGAAAAAAAAATATTCTAATTTTTTGGCCTCCTGCCCCTCCGAAGAAAAGAGCCCTAGTTGTGTTTTGTCTCCAAAAGCTGTGACTTTTTTTGTTTTGTTTTGTTTTGAAGGAGAGGAAGAAAGACCAACAACTGTAGAATATTAATTGCTAGTAAAGGACTTTCCAAAAAGGCCTCTTTGGTTATTTGGGTTTCTGTCCGCCTCACCCCCAAGCCAGTGGTGGAATTCAAATATTTTTACTACTGGTGGGCATGGTGTGGCTTGGTGGGTGTGGCTTGGTGGGCATGTCAGGGGAAGGATACCGCAAAATCCCCATTTCCACTCCACTCCTGGGATAAGGATTTTGCAAAATCCCCATTCCCTCCCCGCTCCTGGGGGAAGGATACTGCAAAATCCCCATTCCCACCCCACTCCAGGAAGGATACTGCAAAATCCCCATTCCCTCCCCGCTCCTGGGGGAAGGATAATGCAAAATCCCCATTCCCACCCCACTCCAGGGGGAAAGATTTTGCAAAATCCCCACTCACTTCCCACTCCTGGGGGAAGGGTTTTCAAAATCCCCATTCCCACCCGGTACTGGGGGAAGGATACTTCAAAATTCCCATTCCCACCCCTTTCCTGGGGGAAGGATACTTCAAAATCCCCATTCCCACCCCACTCCTGGGGGAAGGATACTGCAAAATCCCATTCCCACCCCACTCCAGGGGGAAAGATTTTGCAAAATCCCCACTCACTTCCCACTCCTGGGGGAAAGGTTTTCAAAATCCCCATTCCCACCCCGCTACTGGGGGAAGGATACTTCAAAATCCCCATTCCCACCCCTTTCCTGGGGGAAGGATACTTCAAAATCCCCATTCCCACCCCACTCCTGGGGGAAGGATACTGCAAAATCTCCCTTCCCACCCCACTCCTGGGGGAAGGATACTGCAAAATCCCCATTCCCACCCCACTCCAGGGGGAAGGATACTGCAAAATCCCCATTCCCACCCCACTCCAGAGGGAAGGATACTGCAAAATCCCCATTCCTTGCCCGCTCCTGGGGGAAGGATATTGCAAAATCTCCATTCCACCCCACTCTGGGACCAGCCAGAGGTGGTATTTGCCGGTTCTCTGAACTACTCAAAATTTCTGCTACCGGTTCTCCAGAACCTGTCAGAACCTGCTGGATTTCACCCCTGCCCCAAGCTTCCCTAACCTTCCCTCTCTGCCTTTTGCAAACTTCCAAAGAAGTTTTCTGGGACACTTCTTGTGGAAAGATCTTGGGGACCTCCTAACAATAAGCATCTTAAACAGGCAACCTTAATATTTTTGGCAGGGCCTCAAAGCGTCTTGAACAGGCAATGCTTTTGGCCTCCGTCGAAGTTAGGTGAAGTTCTGTGTCAGGCATGGGCGGTATCATTTGGGAGTTGAAATATGAGCTTGTTCCAGTGTGTGACATGCAGTTTCCCCAGTTTCAGAAGGAGCGAGACACTATGCAATTGGGCACCAGCCAAGATTGTAACCTAAGGGACGTGGTGGCTCGGCGGCTAAGACGCTGAGCTTGTCGATCGAAAGGTTGGCAGTTCAGCGGTTCGAATCCCTAGTGCCGCCTAACGAAGGTGGGACCAATAGGTTACTTGTGCTGCCTCATTCACACCTCAGTGTAGTTTATGGAGGTTTTTATTTGTCTTCCCCAAGCAGTTCTCTTCAGCTGGCTTTATAACTTTATAATTGCGGGGGGGGGGAAAGGCCTCACTCCTCTTGATGGGCTGCACCGGAAGCTATTTAGCACGGCAGGCAGAGAGAGGTGTTGTCGGAAGCAATGTGTGTGCTGTCACTGAAACCAGCCATAAACAAACCCAGATTAATTGCCCAGACAATGGCCAATTAGTCCGTAACACAAACAGCAAGCTGCTCAAACAGTAAGTCCAATAAACGAACATAAAGCCCGCCAGGCAAAACTCTACAGTACATCCACATTACCCATGTGTTATACTAGAATAGAATAGAATAGAATAGAATAGAATAGAATAGAATAGAATAGAATAGAATAGAATAGAATAGAATAGAGAATATGGAATGGAATGGAATAGAATAGAAGAATAGAATAGAATAGAATAGAATAGAATAGAATAGAATAGAATAGAATAGAATAGAATAGAGAAATAGGATGGAGTGGGGTGGGGTAGGGTAGAGTAGAGTAGAGTAGAATAGAATAGAATAGAATAGAATAGAATAGAATAGAAATAGAATAGAATAGAATAGAATAGAATAGAATAGAATAGGAATAGGAATAGGAATAGGAATAGGAATAGGAATAGGAATAGGATGGAGCAGAGCAGAGCAGAGCAGAGCAGAGCAGAGTAGAGTAGAGTAGAGTAGAGTAGAGTAGAGTAGAGCAGAACAGAGCAGAACAGAATAGAATAGAATAGAATAACAGAGTTGGAAGGGACCTTGGAGGTCTTCTAGTCCAACCCCCTGCTTAGGGGGGTTCTAGGTTGCTTCTCTCCTTGATACGTTTCCATCCGTTGCTTCTTGTCCTGCCTTCAGGTGCTTTGGAGAATAGCTTGACTCCCTCTTCTTTGGGGCAGCCCCTGAGATATTGGAAGACTGCTATCATGTCTCCCCTAGTCCTTCTTTAATCAAACTAGACATATCCAATTCCAGCAACCATTCTTTATATGTTTTAGCCTCCAGTCCCCTAATCCTCTTGGTTGCTCTTCTCTGCACTCTTTCTAGAGTCTCCACATCTTTTTTACATTGTAGTGACCAAAGCTGAATGCACTCTTCCAAGTGTGGCCCTTACCAAGACCTTATAAAGTGGTATTAACACTAGTAATTCAGAGTATCAGGAAACAGTGGCTGCTCAGGAAATAGTCAGGCATATGAAGGGTTTTGTGGCTCCCGGTGTTTTCTTTTCTGTGGGAAACAGGTCCAGAGGGCTCTTTGAGTGTTTAAGGTTGCAGACCCCTGGTCTAGTCCAACAAAGAGAAGGACTAGGGTTGACATGATAGCAGTGCCCCAATATCTCAGGGGCTGCCCCAAAGAAGAAGGAGTCAAGCTATTCTCCAAAGCACCTGAAGGCAGGACAAGAAGCAACGGATGGAAACGTATCAAGGAGGGAAGCAACCTAGAACTAAGGAGAAACTTCCCAACATTGAGAACAATTAACCAGTGGAACGACTTGCCTCCAGAAGTTGTGTGTGCTCCATCACTGGAGGTTTTTAAGAAGACACTGGGCAGCCATTTGTCTAAAATGGTGTAGGGTCTGATGCTTTTGCAGGGGTTTGGACGAGAAGACCTCCAAGATCCCCTCCAACTCTCTTACTGTTACTCCTACTAATTTACAAGCATTTATTTTATTATGATGGCACTGAAAAAAATATGAGTTAGGATTTGCTCTTCGCACCACCCACACAGCTTCTGGATCAAAACGTGGACTTATTTTAGAAAGAGAGGGACAATTCAGTCTGAAATTGTTGCTTACTCATCTTGACTTCTGAATCTACGAAAAAGAAAAGTTAACTTGGATATTGAACTGCTTTGTCCATCTCAATTTGGCCACGCTTCAATTATGTCGACTTTTCGCGTTTGCTATTCGCTTTTTCGCCCTCCGGAATATCAGGGCAGGGCGGGACTCGCTGTTTGAAGCCGCCGCAGGAGATGGGGCGACGGCCTGCTAAAACTGCTGTTTTTGGCTTGTCAGTGCCGGGAGGAGTGGAGGCCGGAGTGTTCGGCGGCAGTCGGCGTTGCTGTGCGACGCCAGCGGCTTGGAGGTGCCCTTCATCCCCCTCGCCCCTCAGGGATCTCTGGGACGCTCTCCGGATGTTTTTCGGGGGTCCTGGAGGTGCCATGGGGAGCCCAGGGTGCCGGTTGCGAACCGGCGATGGCGGTGGTGGCGGCGGCGGTGGTGGCGGAAGGCAATGGCAGCCACGGATCATCCGGCTGAGGAAAGAGCTTGCAGCAGGTGGCTGGGGGAATATGGACAGCCTTGCCCTCAGGATTACCATCTGCTCTTTTTTGAGCCTTGACCCCTATTATTCAGGGTTTGTTTTGTCATCAGAGCTGAGACTGGGGATTGGGGAGATTTGGGGCAGGAGAGGCGGGAGGCTGACCAGGGCTCTATTGGTTGCCTCGGGTGGCTTCTCCTCCTCCCCCTTCTTCCCCCAGGTATGGGTGGGTGTTGGCCTTTGATGGCCACCCACCCTTGGACTTGGACTGCGTTCTTTGTCTGCTATCCCTACTCTCGCCCCAGGGAAGAACTTGTGCCTGTGGGATTATCATCATTGTCTTTAATAACCTTACAAATTGCTGGCTTCTTGTGCGACCCCAAACTGGAGGAGAACTGGGCAAAATGGTGTGCAGGTGCTGAGGGGGCTGTTTGTCATCCGTCAGATGAAAGGATGGACTATTGTGACTTTATTGTCTGCCCCAGTCACTGTGAGAGGGTGACTGGGATAATTATCCTCCAGACATGGGGGGATGTCACTGGCTCCTTTCACTGTCGTGAGAGGGCAGTGAACCAGCTCCTGATATTCATGATCTACTTTGACCCAGTATTATTGGACGATCTGGTGAAGCCCTGACCAGTTGACTCTCCATCTCTGCTTTGTGCGATGTTTACAGCTGCTGACCTGCTTGCGCTGCGAGACTCCCCCCTCTCGCAGGTTTGGCCCTCCTCACTATCGAGGGCCTACCTTGATGACAGATTTTGGAATCCCGAGAGGTGGCATGCGGCGAGGAGGAGGTTGTGGGGTTTTTGGGGGAAATTTTTAGATAAGGTTTTAAAGGTTTCTGGGAGGGGGTGGGTTCGGTGGGTTTGGGGGAGAACCTGTCGGGGAGGAGGCCAGAGCTGGCTGAAGAGCACGGCACTAGAGGTGCGGGAACCGGGGTCAAGGAGGGGGTTAGAGCTTGTGTTATGGATGGACATTACATCAGTACTGTGGGTGGGAGGGGCAGATATGGCAGGAGCAGGGGGCCACATCAGGTTGTGGGAGTGCGCGCCTGCTGGCTCCAAGCGGTGGCGTGCTCCGGCCTTCAATACTCCCCTCATTCCCCAGGTTGCACAGACCCTCAGGCCCTGGGCCTTCGGCTGATGCTGTGCAACGCCCGGTCCGTGATAAATAAAGCCCCCCTCATTTGTGATCTTGTTCAGGAGGGGGGAGCGGACCTGGCGGGTATTACGGAGACCTGGTTGGGCCAGGAGGGGGGATCCCCCTCATTGAGATGTGCCCACCCGGTTTCTGTGCATTCCATCAGCCAAGGACACAGGGGAGGGGAGGGGGGTGGCGGTTGTCATTAGAGAAGGTCTTGGTCCGAAGGAGGTCACTGTTCCTCAGACGGCTGGTTGTGAGTCCCTCCTTGTGAAGTGGGGTCATGGGGTGCAGATGGGCGTGCTGGTTACGTACCTGGCTCCCTGCCACGTGATGGCAGCCCTGCCCGAGCTGCTCAATGTTATAGCCACGGTGGCGGTTGACACCCCCAGGCTTATGGTCATGGGGGATTTTAACCTGCCATCCGTCGGTGAGGCGTCTGAGGTGGTTCGAGAGTTCATGGCTTCCATGATGGCCATGGACCTGACCCAGTTAGTTCATGGCCCTACTCACACGGGGGAAAACACGCTAGACCTGGTTTTTGTCTCTGGTCAGTGGTTGAGTGATCTTGATTTTTTATCAGATCCGCCTGATTTGCCAGTTGCGTCCCTTTCTGGATCGGGACTCGTTAAATACGGTCACTCATGTTCTCATTACTTCCCGCTTGGACTACTGCAATGCTCTCTACATGGGGCTCCCCTTGAGGAGCACCCGGAGGCTCCAGCTGGTCCAGAATGTGGCCGCGCGGGTGGTTATGGGAGCGACGTGGCGCTCCCATGTGACCCCCCTCCTGCGCGAGCTGCACTGGCTCCTGGTGGTCTTCCGGGTGCACTTCAAGGTTTTGGTTACCACCTTTAGAGCGCTCCATGGCTTAGGACCGGGGTATTTACGAGACCGCCTTCTGCTACCAATAGCCTCTCACCGACCAGTACGCTCCCATAGAGAGGGGCTCCTCAGGGTGCCGTCAGCCAAACAGTGTCAACTGGCGGCCCCCAGGGGGAGAGCCTTCTCTGTGGCGGCGCCCACCCTCTGGAACGAGCTCCCCCCAGAGATACGGAGGATCCCGGATCTGCGCACGTTTCGCCATGCTCTCAAAACTTTTCTATTTCAGCAGGCTGGCCTGGCCTAACTCTCCTCTTTTAAATGTTTTAATTCGTGATTTTATAAATTGGGTGTTTTAATCTGTGTTTCAGCCAAAATATTTAATAATTTTAAGGGATTTTTAATATTTGTATTATCTGTATTTTATCTTGGCTGTTCACCGCCCTGAGTCCTTCGGGAGTAGGGCGGTATAGAAATTTGATTAATAAATAAATAATAAATAAATAAATCTTAATTACTTTTCCCCCTCCCCCACATGTTTCTCAATCGTCTTCCACTGAACAGTTGATGCTGTACTTTGTACTTCAACCTCTTTTTTAAAAACGTGCATAGATCTCTTTGATATATATTTTGAGCGAACATCAGAAAACATCAAGTCAAAGGAACAGAAGGAGCAGCTGCAAGGACCTGCAACTGTGTGAAGAAGCATGGGGTGTAATAAAAATTGCGGCTTGCTGACAGGAACAATCATTGGGGCAGCGTTGGCCATCCTCGGCGGAATTTTAATCCCAGTTGGAAATAACCTCATCGAGGACACAGTAGAAAAGGTAAGAGCAGCCTCGAATCCCTGCATTTCTCATCCCTTTCTTCTAAAACCTTTGCTTATGATGTAAGCATAGGAGGGACGTGGTGGCTCAGTGGTTAAGATGCTGAGCTTGTCGATTAAAAAGTCGGCAGTTCAGCAGTTCGAATCCCTAGTGCCGCGTAACAGGGTGAGCTCCCCGTTCCTTGTCCCAGCTTCTGCCAAGATAGCAGTTCAAAAGCAGGTAAAAAATGCAAGTAGAAAAATAGGGACAAAAATATTCAAAAAATATTCACATGTGCAGAAATGGATAGATTAACTTTAAAATTAAACAACAAAGAAGACTCACAGTGTTACAAAATATGGGACAGATGGTATGAATGGATCAATCAAAAGAAAAAAAAATTAAAGTCAAATATAGTAAGAAATTAAGGATAACAAATTTACACCGTCATTAAGAAATTAAGGTTAATGTATACATGTACTTACATGTTCAAATATAGATAGATAATCCTGTTTGTTAGTTTTTAGTATATATGTAATCTAGAATTGTACCTTCTTTTTTTAGAATTAAGAATGTTTTGTACAATCTTTTATCTTTTTATATTGAATAAAGTTTGTTTTTAAAATTTTTTAAAAAAAGAAAAATAGGGACCACCTTTGGTGGGAAGGGAACAGCGTTCCATGCGCCTTTGGCGTTGAGTCATGTCGGCCACATGACCACGGAGACGTCTTCGGACAGCGCTGGCTCTTCGGCTTTGAAACGGAGATGAGCACCGCCCCCTAGAGTCGGGAACGACTAGCACGTATGTGCGAGGGGAATCTTTACCCTTACCTATGATGTAAACCATTACAGGCCACCAGCAACCTTAATTGTTTCTCCACCTATCTGCTACTCACCTAACATCTGCTGATTTTCTGGCTGATTTATTCTCCAAATGGAGGGTTTTTTTGGATGGGGTGGGGGTGGATGAAAAGTAAACAAATGAATGAGATGTTCCTTTGATCGTCTATTTGCCAGCCAGGAAGGGCAGAAGTAGGAATTATGTCTAGCTGAATGAAAAGAAGGACTAGACACTATAGGATAGCAGCCTTCCAATATCTCAGGGGTTGCCCCAAAGAAGAGGGGGTCAAGCTATTCTCCAAAGCACCTGAAGGCAGGACAAGAAGCCATGGATGGAAACTAATCAAGGAGAGAAGCAACCTAGAACTGAGGAGAAATTTCCTGACAGTTAGAACAATTAATGAGTGGAACAACTTGCCTCCAGAAGTTGTGGATGATCCATCACTGGCGGTTATTAAGAAGAGATTGCATGATGATTTGTACGGAATATTATAGTTCCGTGATGGTGAACCTATAGCACGTGTGCAAGAGGTGGCACATAGAGCCCTTTCTGTGGGCACACGCACTGTCGCCAGCTGCTCTTCTGGTTTCCAGCCATCTGGTCTTCGCAGGTGCCAGAGCGCTGGAAAACAGCCTGAAAACGGCTCGAAAAATGCCCAAAAAACAGGCTGTTTTCCAGGCTGTTTTTCGGACCATTTTCAGGCTGTTTTTTGGGCCCTCGGTGCCGAAAAGGATCGCCATCACCGGTATAGTCTCTTCTGTTCAAATAGGTGGTTGGACTAGAAGACCTCCAAGATCCCTCCCAACCTTGTATGTTCTGAGCAACCGATTGCAATCGATCCAAGAACAACATAGAAAGAAATACGGCAATTTCACCCAGAACTCAAGATAAAACTCCAGGACAATGTCACATACGTTGGTAAACAAATGTCTGCAAGAAAACCACCAAGTTCAGCGCACCAAAGACCCCACAATCATCTCCTCCTCCTCCTCCTCCTCTTCCCCCTCCTCTTCCTCCTTCTCCTCCTCCGTGCAAACGAGTGGTGGGTTGCCCCCAGTTCGGACTGGTTCTATAGAACCAGTAGGCTTCTGTGTCTGTGCAGAAAAGCAAGCGTGTGCACGCTCACGAGCGAAGCAAGCTATTGCAAACCAGTAGTTAAGGCAAGTAGAACCCACCCCACATGCGCGTGTGTGTCTTCCGCATGCATCCTGTCCCTGCGTATGCATGGGGCCTGAAGACCAGCTGGCCGGTGGGAGGCACGCGTGCGTGCCCACTGGAACTGGGTTGGGGCAATGGCTGTCGTGCCCACAGAGAGAGCTCTGTGAGCCACCTGTGGCACATGTGCCATAGATTCACCATCATGGATATAGGGTTTCCTGCCTAAGCAGAGGGTTGGACTAGAAGACCTCCAAGGTCCCTTCCCACTCTGTTATTCTCTTCTGTTTGCACACACTCGAGATGTTCCTACAGACCAAAAAGTGCCTTGACTGTTTTGCTGAGAACAGTAGATGTTATTGATTAAAATAGAGTCCGTGTCGGACATCTGCCTGCTGTTGGAAGTGCGGTTACAGTAATGGAACCTATTTTCACCAATGGTGGAGCTGCCCGCAGGCGGTTAAATATTGGGGAAAAATACGGCAATGGATTTTGGAAATTACACAGATCAATTTGGAATTGAGGCCCGAGATTTTCCTGTTGAGGGCAAAACCTTTGAATGTTAAATCAGATATATGGTCCTTGTTGATTCACATTATTACTGCAGCAAGATTAGCCTATGCGCAGGAGTGGAAAAATCAATACTTACCGATGGATTTGAAAATAATATATAAAATTAATGAGTGTGCGGAATCAGATAGATTAACTAGATTGATCAATGGTAAAAAAGATTCAGAGTTGCAAACTATGGTACGATTGGGTCCAGAAAAGGTGGGATAGAATAGATATATGATGATGTATATATATGACGGCAAATATGTATGTATAAAGGAATGACTTTATATTTATGGACAATGTAATCACATTATACCATGGTGGCAGGATTGTATATTTTATTGGTGTATTGGTGTATAGAATATATTAATAACAATTATATATATATAAAAAAAAATAGAGTCCGTGTGTTGACCAGGAAATGGACCAGGAGACCACCTGATGGCAGGTTTGTTTTTTTTTATTGAAAAGTTTTATAAGAAATACAAACATTTTCACCTCCCCACCCCTCTTTCCCCTCCCTCCCCCCCACCCCCCTCCCTAGACTTCCCAGAACAAGCACAGGGTATAGCATTCACAAATCAAAAACTAGAATATGCTAACAAATTATTACATTTCATATTCTCCCTAGGTCCTTAACTCCTTATAACTAAAAAAAAAAAAAAAAAAAAACCCAGATATAAACTACTTAAAATTATTTCATTCATAAGCTATATGAATCTTCTTATTCGGATATTTCTTCTGTATATAATCAATCCATCTTCTCCATTCCGATATATATCTCTCATTTGAATGGTCTTTTAAGATATGATGAAATTTTTGCCATTTCTGCCAAATGCACAACTTTTAATGTCCATTCCTCAATGGTGAGTGGATCTTCCTTCTTCCAGTACTGTGCCACCAGTAACCTGGCAGCCGTTATTAAGTTCAAAACCAGTTTAGTCCCTATTAATCACCTGATAGGAGGTTTAATGTCATCAAGGCTCTCGTGTCAGGCAACATTTTTTTTCCCCAATATTTTTTTTACTTTTAAACAAGAATAAAACATAAAAACATCATCATTCCATACAGTTACAGACAGTATATCGATCGGTTTGTATCCTTTTGTGCTCCCTCCTCTGTTCAAAATATCACTATTTTGAGATTATTTTCATATATATAAAAAAAGAAATTGACTTAATTTATCTCAGCATCCACATATTTCATGTTTATCTCCATTTTTGATTGTCCATCCATTGATAAAATAAATCCCATATCAAATAACATTGTTTATCTTCCTGCTCTCTTCTTTCAAATGTCAATTTACTCATTTCAGCACAGTCCATCATTTTCTTAATAATTTCTTTATCAGTTGGTGTCCTTTCTCCTTTCCAATTTTTTGCAAATACAATTCTTGCTGCTGTTAGAAGGTTCACAATTAAATATTGCAATTCTTTATTATATGTCTCTGGTAAGATCCCTAATAAAAAATATCTCTGGTTTAAAATCAATATGTCTCTTAGTCATTTTTTCCAAACACCTGTGTATCTTGGTCCAATATTTCTTTGCATCTCTGCATGTCCACCACACGTGGTAATAGAAGAATAAGAATAAGAATAAGAATAAGAATAAGAATAATTTTATTTCTATACCGCCCTTCTCCCGAAGGACTCAGGATCCTATCAGGCAACATTTGAGTGATGATAAAGACGGATGAAATATCACTATGAACTTTGTGAATTCCAAAGACCTTCATCTACAGATGCCCAGTGATGAGCGAGCTTGTTCTTCAGGTATATGAACCTCAGAACAGAACTGTCAGAACTGAAGAAGCTTCTTGGATGAGAAGCAAAATGTCTTCAAAACAAAAAACAAGGAAGGATGCCAATTGCCTGGCAAGTGAAAAAGCACTTTTGGGACTCAGAACAGAACATAGATTCACAGATTTCAATAAAAGGGCATCCACATTGCATTCCCAGAGGTGTGGAAATAACTGGTGAGAATGTCTGATCCAGAAAGGTGATAGTTACTCATCGGACACAGTTGGAGGGCAACTGATATAATTCAGAAGATAAAGAAACTAAAGATAAATCCTTATCGTAGCAAATCGTGCTTGGCTGTTAACATTTACTGAACTCTGCTCTCTGCATGCCTACTCCTTCTTCTTTGGCAGTTTCAGACGGATCTTTCTTTCTGAAGAATTATGCAAGAAAATGCCAGGAAAACCTGAGTGACCCTTTACCCCCACCCCACCCCCATCCCCTTGACACTGTAGGAAGTTAGCACCCACCCCTTTCCTGGAAGAGTGAAATATTTTAGGAAATATGAAAAAGGCAGAATATTACATTTCCTTGGATGAGAAATGGATAAGCATGTTTTGAAGCAGCTCCCATCTTCCTGCCCCCACCCTTTGTCAATGGGCCATTAAGGCCTGGGCCAGTCTATTCTACATAACAAAGATCTACCTCCTTCAGGCAGAGCCATAGTAGGA